TTTTATATTTTTTTATTATATATGAGATTCCTACAAGTTTTCATAAGACAAAAAAATCTCCCATAAAATTTCACAAAATAAAAAATGCCTTCATACCTATCATATAAAGAAAATTATTTTTTTATATTTTTGTGTAAAAAAAATATTTTTAAATTTTCTATTTTTAATTTCATATAAAAATATAATAAATATTAATATTAAAAGTAAAAAGATAATTAATTAAAATTTTATATAAATATAATATGTAAAATTTATGTGAAAATAAATTATACTCCTTTTATAAAAGTTACTAACTACTACTAATATATAGATTGTTCAAGATAAATTGCAAAACACTTACGAGGTATTTATTTATTTTTTTATTGTAGTGACTTTTTAGTATATAAGATTCTAAAAATAAAACTCCGAAAATTTTAAAAATATTTCCAATACAATTGGTTAATATAATTACAAAAAATTATTTAAATTTTAACAGAATTACATTATTTAAAATTTTTAGCATCATTATTTGTAAATTGACAGAAGAAATGTTTTTTGACAAAAATTGTTCTTTGGGCCAATTCAGGGAATTCCGTCCTCCCTAGCTGGCTAGCTGTACCTTGAATCAGGGCCAGGTATTGGGCTGACGGTCCATTGACTGAAGATTTTTAGTTATCAAACGGATAAGAACTAAGAAGAAAGCTAGTACGCATTGGCCCAAAAATAGACTAAGAAAGCAGGACCGATGGAAATGGGCTTTGATTAAAACAGTCCTATACCATTATCTTCTTCTTCTTCTTCTTCTTTTGTCTTTTAATTATTTTAATGAAATAATTAAGTTGTTTCAAACACCAACACTATGATGGTACTATTAAAAAAAAAAAAAAGACAAACCAGTATGAATTTTATGGTTAAAAATTTATTGCCATGATATTTTATTATTATTTTTATTATCCACTTAAACATATTCCCGAGTAAAATTGTGTCAACATTCCCAAAGTTATATTCCTCTGCCTGGTTTACTATCATATGGTTTTAGCCGATCTTACATTATCATAACTCATAAGAATAGATTACAAACATTTATTTTAGTTAGGAATTATATATTTATTACAGTTTAATAATATCAAATAAATAATAATATAATAATATTATATTATATAAAATTATAAATTTATAATCATAATATTTTATTAAATGAATAAATATAATATCAATAATAAATTTTTAATATTAATTATATAATAATATATTATATTATAAGTTTTTAATATTATGTAATATTATAATATTATAATTATAATATTTTTATCAAATAAATAAGTAATGTTGTACCAATTTATTATTATCTAGTTTATCAGTATTCAATCAATTCAATTTTTAGACTTATTAAATAAAAAAGAATTAATTAAAAATAGTATCACATAAAATTATGAAATTTGAATAAATATTGTGTTTATATTGAGTGGAGCTGTTGGGATTTCTCAAACTAATCCCAAAAGCTATGGCGATTCATCCCACAGGCCACAACATATTGGGTTCATCGTAACCAAAAAGTTGGAAAAACCTAACTGGCCCATGTTTTGAGAAGGAGTGTAGTTTTTCTTTGGGAAAATGAAGTGACATAATTAAAAGGTTTGTGCCTAACATCCTCTTGTCTCTATCAATATGGAACTTTAGTGGTTGCACTGACTATTTGACTTTGAATTCCAGGGCTCATATGGTGACAAAAAAATGAAAGACGTAAACATTTCATGATTTAAGACGACTAAATGTATTTGACTAGATCTCAGAGCTTTGCATTCACTTTTAAAATTTGCTTTTACCCCCTTTCAAATTTTTAATATGAATAATAAAAGTTTATCTAGTCAAATAGTTTGGTAATAATCTTTTTATATAAAAAGTATAAAATTATGAGTTTAAATTATATGATATATAAATGATATGAGATAAAAAATAAAAGATAAAAAATAATTATTTTTTATTATGTAATCAAAATAAAAAAAAATATGAATAATAAGAGAAAAATCATGTAGAAAAGAAAAGTGCCATGTTTTTTCATATTGGCTATTTTTTAATATATTTATATTAAATTATAAAATAAAAATTATTTAATAAGAGTAAC